TGGCACGCATTTCTATGGGATGTGGGGAAAACTAAACAGGCGTACTTTCATAGACATCTTATTAGAGATTCACTATTAACTAATTGGAAAAAAATATGTAAAAAACATTATTTAAAAATTCCGATTTGGCTTTCAACAATGGAGGCAATGGTTCATCCCAACAATTTGGATATAACAAAAATGACTAAATATAAAGATTTATTAGATCCTTTAGGGAAACTAAGAACTCGACAGGACTTACAGGAACAGGGATTTAAAATTGATCAGTGGTTATATATACAAATCCATAGTAGATACAAACAAGATATCAAAGAGTTTGGAATTTATAGCAAATTACAACACTTAGATAAAATCTTATTAGGATCAAATAAAAAGAATATTTCTAAATTTTATAAATATTTATTGGAGGTAGAATTAGAGCAAGAGATAGTGAAAGGGAACATGATAATGTGGAGTAGGAATATTGGAAGAAGCATTACATTAACAGAATGGGAAAAGATCTGGAATAGAATCATTAAGATTACGAAATCTGCGGCGTACAAAGAAAATATGTATAAAATGTTATATAGATGGCACTTACCCCCTTCGAGGTTAGCGAAAATGAACCCAAACTCTAGTCCAAAATGTTGGAAATGTAAAAACATAGAGGGAACCTACTTTCATATGTGGTGGACCTGTAAAGAAGCCCAGAAATACTGGCAAAAAATTAGAAAATGGCTGGAGGAGATAACCAAAGATCAAATTGAATACAAACCAGAGTTCTTCCTACTAGGGATCTCTGATAAACATTTTCCTAAAAAGACGAAATACATAATAATTCATATTCTAACTGCGGCCAGATTAGCATTTGCCCAGTGCTGGAAATCATCCCGTTTACCTACAGATCAATTGGTCATTCAGAAAATATGTGACTGCGCAGAAATGGACAATTTAACCATAGCTCTTAAAAATAAAGAGTCTTCAGCATTTGATAATAATTGGAATGCATGGTATAATTGGTTATATCAGAGATAAACTGTTTAATGAGCATAAATAAGCATAAATATCCATAAATAGCGATAAGATGTGTATATTTAAAGTAAGGTAGGAGAATTGGATCTTGTAGACTGTCAAAAAGAATATTTGTCTGGTTTTAACGTATTTTCTTTTTTCTTCCGTCTCTTTGTTTGTTTGTTTGTTTTTTTCTCTCTTTTATACTTCTTCTTCTCCTTTTTCGGTCGCAAGACCGAGCGTTTTTTTTTTTTTTTCCTCTCTCTTTCTCTTCTTTCTTTCTTCTTTTTCTCTCTCTGTTTCTTATGTAATGTTGTTATGTTATTTTTTTAATTGTAAATTCAATAAAATTTATATGAAAGAAAAATTATGTCTAAACAGAATAAAAGCAATGCAAGAAAGAAACTGGACATATGTATGATCCACCATCCTTCCGTATTTCAAACCTATTTTGACAGTAGAGGGAAATTTGGGTGGACAATTCTACAGAAGCTGTTTACTTGAATACTGGTAAAATACTATAAAAAATGAAATAGAATGCATTTGTACACTCATGTGGATATAGGCACAAAGAATTTCTGAACCATCTCTGTTAATCTTGCAAAAAATGTTATTAAATGAACCTGCCTTTTTTTGGGAATGCTAGAACATACCCACAACTTAACTGTATTCAACATGACTATGCATGTTCTCAAATTTTTCATTCACCCAGTGGCATGAGGTTTTTGGTAACTGGAACAGCTTCCCTGCTCCCCAAAGATTTAGATAGCAGACTTTTTCCTGAAAAGCTGGCTTTGGTCATCTTCAGAGTCTCTTTCTGCACCATTTTGGAGAAAAGATTAAACCTCTTTCCAGAAATCCCTGTTCCCATTGTCAAATCTTAATTTTTACTTTAACAAGCTGCAGATGAAGAGAATAACATCAAAATTATTCTGAATCCTCCTTCACTGCTACTGCTTTATCCAAAGTTCCATTCTTCAATATCAAATTAGGTTATTAGCTCCTTTAAACAGTGGCAAGAAAAATGTATCCTGGGCCTTAAATACCATAAAACTGACAAAATGCATTGACGCCTCTGAAGTAAAAGTGTAAGAGAGCAGCTCAAATAACAGATAATGTAGACACTTCTCTTCCACTTTATGTGCTTAGTTTTGTGAAGAAAGTTTATAAAATAAGCTAATATATAAAATAAAAGCAGGGAGAGCTTGTCTGAATTGACCTAGGGCATCAAAGCCTTGGGGGCAACAATACAGCCCTTCTTCTGAATGATTCTAAAAATGCAAAAAGGCAGCACATGATACCAGCAGTCAATGTATCTCAGGAGTGTCATATGCCCTTGAGCTAACGTTGTTCAATGTCTATGAACAAAATCTGTATTAGGGACTTACACTGGTTATCAAGTGCAATTCAAAGTGATGGTTGTTATCTATTATATACCATACAACTCAAAAGAGTCTGAATACTTTAGAAATAACTTTTGCCTGACAGACAATATAGGAGACCAGGAAACAACCGCTGTGACAAGGTTCACAAAGCTGAAGGGAGCTTGATAATGAATTTTATTTAAAAGATTTATATTATGGCTGCCTATCGTAAGCAACTCTGGGCAGCTTATAAAAATCATTAAGCCAATAAATAAAATAATGAAAAACAATAAACACTCTATGCCATAACCATCCCCCTTGGGATACACAACAGTAGACTCAGCTACCCTCCTAGTGAATGTTGAACAACTTGCCTCCAGAAGTTGTGAATGCTCTAACACTGGAAGTTTTTAAGAAGAGATTGCACAACCATTTGTCTGAAATGGTACAGGGCAGCAATGGCTAACCTTTTCCATGTTGTGTGCCAAAAGTGCACTTGCATGCCTGCACCCATGATGCAATGTGCGTACAACTTCCCCGCCCCCTGTGCATGCGCATGCAACCCACCATGCCTCTGTGCATGCACACACAAACCCCTGCATGACGCATGCCTCTGCGCATGCACGCACATCTCCCTCATGCGTCTCCCCCTGTGCATGCGCAGCAGATACCCGACAATCAGCTGGCTGGTGGGGGAATGCACACACACACAGTGGCGCTCCTCCGGGCGACCTCTCATGTGCCGACAGAAGTGGTTCTGCATGCCACTTGCGGCACGCTTGCCATAGGTTCGCCATCACGGGTATAGGGTTTCCTGCCTGAGCAGGTGTTGGACTAGAAGACCTCCAAGGTCTCTTCCAAGTCTTTTTTTTAAAATTAAAATTTTTATTTTAAACATAGACAAACAAAACATAAAACCATCTTCCAGTTGCATACAGTGTGTTGGTTGGTTACTCTGATTCTGTGGTTTCTTCCCCAAATCCCAAAAACTTTAACCTTAGACTGTCTACTATTGACCTCACCCTTTTCCTAAGAGGTCTTAGGGGGCATGCATAAGCGCACCAACGTGCCTACTCTCCCTGTCCTATTGTTTCTTTTATTTTTTTTAATTTTTCTTATATGTATCCATGTATTCATAACTATGTTTTTACTTATACCTATTATCTTGTAAGCAATTGACAAACCAAATAAATAATAAATAAAGTCTTTTGTGCTTCATCTCCATCCTTATAGTTTGTATAAATTCTCATATTATCCATCTAGTATATGTATACATCTGTATTATTATCATTGTTAATCATTTATTTGACTATAACTATTATTCTATCATTTTATGTGAGACATTTAATATTTTAGATTAATTTATATTATAACATTCAATATCCAATAAATCCATCCAATATTAATACATCCTTATGTGTCCCTTCCAAGTCTGTTATTCTATTCTAAAGGAAGGAGATCTTCCTCCTTTGAAATAACTTATCCCAAAGCACACATGGCTCGCCTCTCATAGTTTGTCAGAATGGTGTAAATTAACTGGCTTTTTGAAAACTGTTCAATGTAGAACCACTGGCAGAATGCTTTTTATTAATCTGTCTTATTTGGAATTACAATATATTGTTATTTTATCATTTTATTACTTACTACCTGTTATACCTTGCCTAGAATCCTAGTCAATAGCACTACATAAGTCATTAATTTCCAACATCTCAATTTCTATCTTAAAAATATATTATATGGGTGAACAGATCCTTCAACATGCCTGTATCTGCAAAAGGTAGACATGTAACAGCCGCAGGCTCAACTCACTGCTTCATAACTCTTTTAAGGTCTTCACAAGAATCTATATCTCTATCTATCTATCTATCTATCTATCTATCTATTGTTCATTATCACAGCATATTTGTGGCATATTTGTTCAGGCTCTGCAAATTGTGGATATCCAAGTAATTTAAAACAATTTAGCAATCCTCTTACTACTTGATGACATTATCATCCAGGGGTAGGATTCTACCAGATTCTACCAGGGATTCTACGAGCATCTATTTGCTAGAACCGGTTGTTAACATTCTAAGCAGTTTGGAGAACTGGTTGTTAGAAGAAATTACTGGCCTAATCCTGTAAGGAAGGGAGGAAGGAAACATTCTGGTGTTGCTTACAGAAACTGCTTCTCCGTTGACCCTTGTTACATGCTTGGAAGGACTAGACTTCCTGTCTCAGGAACATCTCTGGAGTTTTTTCCCCTCCTTTGCTGGTACTTTGCTTGTATGGAGTGACCATTCAAAGTTACAATGGCACTGAAAAAAGTGACTTATGACAATTTTTCACACTTACGACTGTTGCAGCATCCCCACAGTCATGAGAGGCCAGGCGAGGAGATGCGTGCCTCGATGTGAGTGATTGAGTGATATTGAGTTGGCCATGCCCAGCCAATAACATGACCACCAAGCCATGTCCTCAGTCATATGATCGCCAAGCCACGCCCACCACCTAAGCCACGCCCACAGAACCGGTTGTTAAAAATTTTGAATACCACCCCTGTTATCATCCCATTGCTACATCATTCAACCATCATTTTTCTAAAACAAATATTCTTTGATGCACTAATAAAAAATATAATGTTGTAATAGTCACTAAATTACTTACCTTTGTAAAATTATTCAAATGGCCAAGTTTTCTCATATTTGAAACCCCTTGCAATTTGGCCACATTTTGAAGAATCTCTCTCAAGTTATCGGAGGGGTCTACAAGAAAAATAAGACACAGATACAGTTAGAGAAACTATATAGTTCTCAAAACAATAAAAAAAATGTATCCCTTAGATCACAATGTAACTCTTTAAATTATCTTAATGTTTAATGTTGAGAATTCCTGCCATGTTTTGACGCAAATTTATTCTGTACTGTTATTTTGTTATTTATACATTTGTGCCTTTTTCTGATCAAAAAAATGTTCAAGCTGAATTGAAGACTGAAAAATAATCACTTTTATTTTATGGTAGTCACCCTATAATATACTGCTATGGTACAGAACAATATTATATATTTGGCTATCATCAATCCAGTACAAATAGTTATCAGATAAATGACAACTGGGGACCAGAATTTCCATTGTTAGATGGTGTGGTTGTAAGTTGAGTCAGACCCAATTTTACAAGTTTTATGGTAGTCATTAAGTAAATCACTGTAGTTGTTAAGTGAATCAGCAGCTGTTTAGCAGCTGTTTGGCAAAAAAGGTAGCAAATGACAATCCCATAACCACCAGACAATGCAACCAGTCATAAATAAGAGTTGGTTGTCAAGTGTCCAAAATGCGATGTAAGCAGAAGTGGTATTCAGCAGGTTCTGACCAATTCTGGAGAACTGGCAGCGGAAATTTTGAGTAGTTCAGAGAACTGGTAAATACCCCCTCTGACTGGAGATTTTACAGTATCCTTCCCCTGCCACGCCCAAGCCACACCCACAGAACCAGTAGTAAAAAAAATTAAATCCCACCACTGGATTAAGCACAGGAGTGGTGCGATGGATGCAAGTGTGTGAATCGGTTGTCACTTTTTCCAATGATGTTGAAACTTTAAACCACTGTTAACTAAACAGTTATTGAATCAAAGAGTACTGATAAAAAAATCTTATTATTTTGTTACTGCTATAATATGCAAAATTAAAAATTTTGGTGAAAGGAAATTTTTAAAAAATTATTTTCTAAATAGAAAATTTTGAGATTCCAAAGTTTCTTTTACAAAATGAGAAGAGTGCTTCCATAGAAAATGTAAAAAGTATGAGAAAGAGAAAAAATAGGAAGACAGAAAACATTTTATAAAATTTAAAAAGCAAAAGCTACAAACAAGAGATTATAAAGAATTTATAATAATACTGATATAAAAATACCACCATTATAATCTTTAATTTTAAGGATGCATGATAGATGGAACAAATTGCTGTCCTACAATTAAACATCAACAATATAATATGGGTGATATATATTTTGTTTTGAGCATTTATCAGAACACTAGCTGGATACTCGTGCTTTGCTACGAAACTATGTGATCAGGCTTAGTTTTGGGGGAGGAAAATAAAGGTGGGGGGAATCTGCCTCTGCCTACCAGCATCCATTGGTATTCATTTGGCTAGCATCCTGTCAGTGCGTGAGAATTGAGGGCTGTTTGGAAACTGAAACAGTATTTGCTGTGTGAGCAAGGAGATAGCAAGGAGCCTGGGTGTGGCTTAATTCAACTGTTCTGTACTAAAGTTGGCTGCTGCTATGAAACTAAAATTGAAACTGAAACTCCTGTCCTCTGCTTGTGTTTTGCATTTGGAACAGATTTCTTTTCAGGTGGGGAGGGGGAGTAGAACTCCTTAACATCAGAGTGTGTTAATAATAATATACAAAATACTAATGCTCTGATGGTCATTTCGAAAAATCCTGTCGTAGCGAGCACCTAGAAGCCAAGAGGAACATATGTGCCAAATTTCAAGTTCGTAGGATTTACAGTTCTGGAGATTTTGTGATGATGTGCAAGTGGTATTTCGCTTTTATATAGAGAGATGATTACCAAAATAATTCTAGATTCAAATAATTTTGCTATAAAATTATTTAGATTTCAATAGCAAGTTCATAGTGTTATAAGTTAGAAAATCTTATTTCACTGGCAAAATAATAAATCAAACTACAGACAGTCCTTGTTTAGCAAGCACAACTGGGACCAGCAACTCAGACAATAAGTGAAGTGATCACTAAGTAAACTGCAACCATGTTTATGATCTTAACTTCAGCTTTCATTTGCTTTATAGACCTGCAAAGGTCAAAAATGCAAGGACTGGTTTCAAAATTACATCATCACTCTCATAACTAAGAGTAATCACAGTACTACACAGTTGCTAAATGAGGAATACCTGTGCTTTCCCAATAAGGCTCTGCAAAATAGAAATATTCCAGCTTGATCAAATTAACAGCAAAAATGCAGTTTTATTTGTCTTTTCTCAAAGTAGAAATAAAATATCCTCTGGTCACAAAGCTTTAAAGGCATGTATATGATATATTACAAGGAGCAGGTGTACATCAGTTATGTAGCATGGTCCCAAACATTTTGAAAAGTAAGTGAATTGGACTGTAGCCTCTGACACCATTGTTCTTGGTATCTTGTTGGACCACCTGCAATTGGGGATAGGAGGTATTGTTTTGCAATGATTGTGCTCCTTTCTCAATGGACAATTTCAGTCTGCCATAGCAGGTCGGAGGAGAGATTGAACCAACAGCTACTACTGCATGGAATGCTACGATTCAATTCTCCCCTCATTGTGTTTTAACATCTATAGTAAACTGATAGAGGAAGTCATATGACAATTTCAGATGATAGTGGTATCCTGGTGATGCCTAATTATACACTGCTACACCACACTCTAAGAGATGTGCTTGATGTTCCTTATTTATCATATTTAGAAACTGCCCATCTTCCTCACAGAGGGACCCTGTGTACAAATAACTGCACGGAGCCTGTGAAGACTTGGATGAGAGATAACAGAAAATTTGAACCCACATAAGACGGAATTGCTGCTTGTACACAGTAATTCTTCTGGATTCATACCTTCTGCCTGAAGTCTGGTAATAGCCAGAAGAATTTAAGTTTAGCTCTGGATAGTACAGTTGCAGTCTTTCTTACTGCAAGGATACCTAGCTATAGTAACTTATTCCTCAATACCAACCAGTTAGATTACTGCAATGTACTTTACATGGGGTTGCCCTGAAACTGCACATTTGTTTAACAAATTTACCATTGTACATCACTTGCATATGAATTGCATGAAACACGAAAATGTTACATAAAAAAATTAATGAAATAAAATGAATTAATAGATAACCACATTCAGAAAGTCTTGCAATTGTCACCTGGCATCTTCATTGAGACAAATGAAAACAGAACTTTTTTTTAAAAAAAAAAAGTAATTCATGTCATTTTAAGCATTAAACACCAACTTAATGGCACCTAATCAAGCAATCCACTCATGTCTATGCTGTGAGGAGAGATCATATTAGCTATAATGGTATCTTAAAAATAACAACCAAGGCATTATACTTGTTTTGTTGCTAAAGAAAACATTTCAATGCTTGAAATGATTGCTTCATAATCCAGAAGCATTTAAGTTTGCTGTATCAGCTATTCCAGTTTTTATAAATTTCAGATAGTCACTAATACCCTATAATGCATTCTACCTACAGCTTTTCTCAGAAACTTCAGATGGTTCAAAATGTTATAGCAAGATTACTTTAGTATTTGTTATATTCATTTTCAATTCTATATTTCTTGTTGCATCATACATTTATCTAATATTTACTGTAAATAAACTAGACTCTGAGACATCATTTATACCTGAAGTTACACGTTGATTCATATCCCCAATCAGCCAATACCTTTAACTGTTACCACAAAGTTCTGTGTGGTATAGCAGTTTGAATGTTAGACTAGCAGCAGGTGTTAATCCAAGCTCTATCATCAAAGGTAACTAGCTGGGTTTGAATCAATCACTTGCTCTCACTTTATAGGGTAATTTTAGTGAAGAAAAATAGAAGGAAGGAAGATCATATCTACCAGGGCTGTCAAACGCCCAGCCCATGGGCTGGATGAGTCACGGGCTGGCCATGCCCACGCCCGGTTTAGCGAAGGGGAAAGAAGTCCCTATACATCTCATGACATCACTATAACGTGAGTTTGACATCCCTGATACATAATCAAGTTTCTAAATAAAAAAAAAAACAAGATATAAATCTAACAAATGCATTAAAATGTATTTTATTCACTTGGGAATAGAAATATGGGATAGAAAATATATGTGCTGGGGTTTGCTGTTTACTCCAAGCATGATTGTAAGCAGCTTTCATCCCCTTCCTATAGCAAGAGTAAAAATAAATAAATAATGAGAGAAGAAAATATCAGACTACAGTGAGAAATATCAAATTACTAAGAAAGAAAGTAAGTTTGAGACCAAAGCTTCTGAACACAACCCCAGGTTTAAACTTACAGTAAATCCCCTTCACTATTTTTTAAATGCAGTTTTTAAAAGAATCTTTAAAATAAATTTTAAGTTATCAATGCAGTTCTTTTAATAAAATTCTGGAAGACTGTTGCCAATTGAATAAGACACAACAGAATTAAATGGATATTTAATTAAATGGATTGGATATTTAAATTGACTAGTTTGATTTCCATTAAGAGAGTTACTGTAGGAAACAAAATTCTATTGGAATAGATGTTGACTCTATCTTCATTCCTAAGTCTTTGAATTCATGTAGCTCTATAGAAGCATGGGATTTATTTCCCATATCCTACCATGAGACAGCCTTCTCATCTTCTTTGTGCTTCTATAAAAATTATATTTTTATAATTATATAAATTATATTATAATTATATTATTATATTGAGTGTAATTGTTTATAAATAGTATTCATAGATGTTCTGGGTTTTTTTCTGGATTACAAAATGTCCTAATGCTACTCAATTAGGAATGCCACATATTGTCACCCATCATGTAAGTTTTAAAATTTAAAATCCATAAAGCTCTCAGTAAAATAAACCACACACACACAAACCTAAATCATTTTTGACAATACAGAATTACTATTCCAATGTGATATTCAAAAGTTTAAATTCATACACACAAATTTTGATATTGTGGATTTCCCACATTATCCATTATTTTTCAGTCATCCAACTTTATATAAATGTTCATTTCTAAGTTATTGAAGCCTATTCAAAGGAATTGTAGGTGACCTGCATATTATATGTAAAAATGAAAAGAACTATCCAAGTAGTTTGCATGGTCTTTGTCCATTTTTTTGGTCTTTTAAGTCTTCCTTCTTAGGAAAGACATAACATATCACCAAAGCAGCGTATTCCTGTTTTATTGATTGCCTTTATTTCAGTCAATTTATATGGTCACCATCTCATAAACACAACTCAGGGCAGCTGATAAGTTAAACCATATAGCCACTGATTTTTTTTTTTAAAGGGACAAGATATTATGGCAACCAAGAAAATCAGCAAAATCTGGTTTCAATTTCTATAATTATTTGACCCCACCCCCAGCCTGGAAAATACCCAGGTCTAAATAGCTTTCCCAAAGACCTGCAAGGTAAAATCTAATCTACTTTGGGGTAGTATGGTTTGATAGAGCACTGTGAAAAAACGGTAGGCTTCCTAAGTTCTACAAGACAATTTTGTCTAACTGATACAACCCAGGGACTAGGATCTCACAGAATAAAGACAAAAATGCAACACTTTGCATCACCTGTAAAGGAACTTAAAAGTACTGCTTGTATAATACTGCTAATTATGTATTACTTAACCATGACTTAAAATATGCAAATTATCTTTCTGACCACATTCTGCTAAATAATAGCTAGCTTTCTTCAATCTTTCTTTCACCATTCAAAGTAAAAAAAATCAAAAGTAGGGGACTTATTTAACCACTATTATCCAAGGATCATTGAATTGCTTTCATGAACACATATAAGCAAATTTGAAGAAACAGAATATATTACACTATGTAGTAAATGTACTTGTAATGAGAATAGAATAATACACAAGAGAAACAAAACATTCCTGTGCAATACATTTTCAGTATTCTCATAAAAGTTGTCAAAAGATCTCTAGAATCTACTTGACATTTAAGATACTTCAGTATATTTTTCCTTCAATAATCTAGAAAATTGGCATATCAAAATGTGTATCTGGACACAATCTATGATAAATATTTTTTGAATTGTACCATTTAAATTAAACCAACATTTTCTCTATTGAATGTCATTTTCTAAACAATTTAACACCAATTTAGATTGTATAGCTGCAGTATGAAGACGTCCATCGTGAAGTCCAGCAATCACTGCAGTAATGTCCAAACATAGAAATCACATGCCCTGTGTGAATAAACAGTATCTTTTTGCATTATGTCCTTTAGTTTCCAGTAGAACCATTTAGATCCGTTGAACTAAAATTATGGATTTCACTGTGCATTTCTGGATTTATCTTGTACTATTCTTTGTACTACATATTTTGTCAGAAGCTTATGCACTTATTCTAATTCTTTTTTCTGATAAACAAGACTGTATCAAATATCCCATTCAGTTTACAAAGGATTTGCAAATCCTAATATGCAGTATGCTAGAATCTATTATTTTATCTACCCAAAACTGTATCTAAAACAAATGTGAGTTTGCCATTTATTAGTGACTAAATGCAACTCTGCCTCCCAGAAAAAGCATGATGGAAAAAGAAAAAACAGCCCTGTTCCATCAATTTGGACTAATGAAGAAAAGCTACAGTTTCTTTATTCCAGAAAGAACATATTGCTATGAAAACAATCCTGAGACTAACGTATAACTTCTGAGCTTTTCTTGTACTGTAATTTGTATTATTTTAATATAATAGATACTGCCTTAAGGAGTATGTACGTAATACTGCATATAAATATGCTAAATAACAAGCAATGAAATGTTATACTGAGTAGTTTTGTTTAGATAGCATGCCAATAACATGTTTTACTACAACTGTATATTCTAAGTTTGAAAGAAACATATATATTCCTATAAATTATCTCTGAAAATTTTGAATTTTTCAAAAATGTTACTATGATACTTCCAGCTGCCACCTTGCCTTAATATCCACATCTAATCATGGTAGAAGACAGTTTTTGCCTATCTATGGAGACTGTCAGTTAGGGAAGCTTTTATAGCTTATCAACAAGCTTAAGCGCAAAAGAGGCCTATTTCCAAGTAGACTGACTCACCAAATCAATTTGCAAGCTGAGTGTAGGAGGGGGGCAGAAAGCCTTCAGAAAGACCATTGAGATTTATATAGTGCTAGCATAAGCACTCAAACTTGCTTTAAGGGCTGCTAATAGCCATCAACAGCAAGCTGAGATTAAATAATGAACCTGAAATAGATTAAGTTGCACGAACAATCTAGGATGGAGAGAATAGCAATACAGTAATTGTCAATAGCTACTTGTTGTCCTCATGCTTCCCCCCTCCCACGTCAAGACTATCTCAGCAAGCAACTCACCAGAGTGAAGCATCCCTAGCATATATAGCCCTGCCATAAAACACAATGACTGTCACTATTTCCAAGACAGATTTTTTTTTTAAAAAAAGAGAGACCTGTTTGCCTTTCATCCTTTCAACCCAACCTTCACATTCCCTCCCTTTTCAAGAGGCCCAACAAATACCAACTTATTTTAAGCAGGGTTAAAAAAAAGGAAAAAAACGCCATTGCAGAACCCGTGGTGGTGGTGGGGAGACACAAACACCCACCCACACGCAGAGTGTACGAGAAGGCTTATTTCTTCAGAGCCAACCGTCTTGCAAATTTGCTCAGACCAGTAATGGGAAGGCCGGGCTTCCCAATGAGGAACTAATTCACTCCACAAGTCCGCTTCAGACACCGCAACCAGGCTGAATGAAATATTACTCACAGGGAAGTGAACCACTCCGACCAAGCTTAGTTTTAAATAAGGGAGGGAGGGAGGGAGGAGGAGCGGGGGGGGGGAGTCTTGTCCAACCATCCTAATAAACAAGCTTAAGATTTAAGTAAGGGAGGAGGCGGTTGTGTATTGGCAACCTTTCCATCTCCGAAGGGAGACGCTTCGAGAAAGGGAGGAGCGGCTGCCCAGTGCTCTTTAGGCGACCCTCCCATTTCTCCCCACGGAGGACTCGCCCGACGAGCCTCCACACCCTCTCAGACCCAGATTCCATTCACTCCCATTCTGAAAATGGGAGCCGGCAACCCAAGAGGAGGCGGAGGGGGGGTGGGTTGATTGTTCCCGGCCCGGCTTGGCTTGGCTTTCGGCAGGCCTTCCGTTACCTCGGGTGAGATCGAGGGGGACGTTCTCCTCGCCGCTGTCGTTCCGGCCTGGAAAAGGGGGGGGGGGGGGAGAAAGGAGAGACAAGAGCAGGAGCTTCAGTTAGTGATGGAAGCCGCACCGGGAGCCGCCGAGCAGCGGGGCTGAGGCAAGAGAGAGGACGAAGAGCTCGGAGACAGCGCCGTCTTCGCCTCGTTTCCCCTTCCCCGCCCGCCCGCCAGCCACGGTCTGGGCCTAGCCCAGGTTCTCCTCACCTCGGATGCGGAGGTGCCTCAGCGAGCGGGCGCGGAGACTCACCGCCATGTTTACGGTCCCGCAGTCACAACACCGGAAACCTTGCCCGATCTCGCGAGAGCGGGCGGAGGAGAGACGCCGCTTGACTTCGCCCGCCGGACGCGCTCGGGCCGGCAGTCTGAGCAGGGCGGGGCGGCGGCGGAGACGCTGCTGCTGCTGCTGCTGCTGGGGGGCTCCCGGAGGAGGGCGGAAGGGACCCGCCCGCGGTCAGCGGTGCCTCTCGAAGGGGGGCTGCCTGGAAAGGCCAAGAGGGAGCGGGAAAGCAGCAGTGCCGCCGCCGCCACCGCCCCTCCTTTAGCCAGGTGGCGGGGCCCGCATCGCCTTCTCTACCGCTCTGGGTGGAATTGGGTGTGCGCGGCTCGGGATTTGTAGCTCGCGTGCGCGCACGTGGATAGATAGCTTCCTTAGGGTACCTATCTACTTTCTTTTTTTTTGGTTCCATGTTTTTTATTTTTTTAGCATATAAAAATTCCAATTTCAATCGAACAGTGTGTGGACTGGATACACAAACATTTTTAGGGTATAATAATCAAAGATGTTTACAACAATATTCATTACATTGATGTTAATTATAGTGGTATCAATAATAATAACAATATTATGTACTTAACCAATTCAACATGCCTTTCTTATATCACTGACCCTATCCATCTATTTCCCTGTATTTAGCTCCTGTTCTCTTCATCTACTTTTTCCCCCAGTGGCTTCCAGTCACTGCCAGTCCTTATATAGGGTATGGTTAGGTAAATATTTGGATGTGCATGTGTTTTATAAATATGTCTGCTTCTTTGTGTGTGTGCATGTGTGTATAAATATGTATGTGTCTGAATATGCATGTGTGTGTTTACTTTGTGTGTGGGTGGATGGATATGAATGTGTGTATGACACTTTGTATGTATGACTATGTATGTGTGTGTCTACTTTGTGTGTATATGTATATATGTATGAATATCAACCAATGGAACACCTTGCCCTCAGAAGTTGAGACTTTCAAGAAGAGATGGGACTGCCATTTGTCAGAAATGGAGTAGGGTCTCCCGCTTGGGCAGGGGGTTGGACTAGATGACCTATAAGGTCCCTTCCAACTCTGATTAACTGTTATCTGTATGTACGTATACATGTTTCTTTGGAAGCACAGATACTGAAGCTAAAGTGCAAGTACGGTACTTTGGCTACCAAATGAGGATTCATTGGAAAAGACTGATGTTGGGAAAGACTGAAAGGAAAAGAAGAAGGCAGAGGATGACAGAGTGTGTCATTGAAACAGTGAATATGGGTTTGGGCAAATTTAGGGAGACATTAGGGGAAGTGGGGACTGGCATGCTATAATCTATGCGGTCATGGAGTGTTAGCTGTGGCTTAATGATTGACCAATAATAAATACATGTGTGTGTGTGTGTATAAAATGAAAGCAACAGGTCATAGCATCGACTTCAGTGGCACCAAAACCCTAACCACTATAGAAAACCCCAGCCACAGAATTATCAGAGAAGCCATAAAGATTGAAAAAAGACCTGAAAGCATGAATAGAAGAGATGATTCCACTAGACTGTCAATTATTCGGAAGCCTGCACTCACAAACAAAAAAATCTCCACATCACAGGCCAGGCAAACACCCGGGCACAAACAGATCCCCCCTGATACCTCCAGCTCAAACACACCCCAACCAGGCACCCAGATGAAACCTAGCTTCCTAATAAATGATAGCCGTCCATTTATTCGGAGCCAAGCTGCACTAAAAGCCTCCAATATAGGAACACAATGTTGCCAGCCAATCAAGACAAAAAAAGCCACAAAACAGACAAGATATTAGAAACACCAATCAAGCAGAACACAGCAAACTCCAAGACCAATAAACACAGACCAAGACTCCCAACCAATCAGGATGAAGAAAAAACCATTCCACCACAGCAGTAGGCTAGCCCCAAATTTAAAACTGAAACGGCTGTGAAAGTCTGACTCACAGACATACACAATACAGAAGCCTGATGGTGTCAGCTGAGATATATTTATTTATTTCACGGGTACAGGTATGTAGGTCTAGGTATGTTCGGGTCTTTTCCCGTGTAAGATTAAGAGTATCTTGGCGACATTTCTGCGAGGATGGCGAGTGGGACCTCGCCGAAACATCGCCAAGATACTCTTAAATCTTAAAAGACCCGAACACACCTAGACCTACACACACACACATAACACATGCTGTGTTACACTGTATAGTACATTCAGAAAGTATACAGACCCCCTTTCACTGTTGTCAATTTTGATAGGTTGCAGCCTGATTCTACAGTTTTGGAACTTCATTTTTTTCCTCATTAATCTGCACTCGGTACCCCATAATGACAAAGTGAAAACAGAAGTTTAGAAATGCATGTAAATTTATTAAAAAAGAAAAAAAAACCTCAAATATTGCATTGGCGTAAGTATTCAAACCCTCCACTCAGTACTTTGTGGAAACACCTTTGGTGGCAATTACAGCCTTGAGTCTTTTGGAGTATGAGGTGACAGGCCTTGCACACCTGGACTGGGGGATTTTTCTGCCATTCTTCCTTGCAAATCCTCTCAAGCTGAGTCAGGTTGGATGGCAACTGTTGGTAGATAGGTATTTTCAGGTCCCTCCAGAGATGTTCAATAGGGTTCAAGTCAGGGCTCTGGCTGCACCACTGTAGGACACTCATAGACTTGTCCCTAAGCTCCTGTGTTGTCTTGGCTGTGTGTTTAGGATCGTTGTGATGTTGGTAAGTGAACCTTCATCCCAGTCTGAGGTCAGCCCAGTGTGGAACAGCCACACCCACACTCCATGGTTCCAGTAATTCCAAAATACGTCAGATTTCTCTCAAAAATGCACTTTCGCCATTCTTGTACCTGTGTTGCATTCTTTATTTACACATCATACATCCATATTCCTTTACACAAAATGTTCATGTAATCCCTCCTCATTGTATTGGTCTTTGTTATAGGAACCCTTTTGCAGATATTTGATATAATAACATCAAGTATTGTCTCCAAATGGCTCTATAGGTTTTGACTTCTTGTGTGTTAGAGGCAGAATCCCATTTCTGTGAGAAATAGATGTTCATAAATACACAACTCAACATATGTTTAAGAAACACTCATTTCAGCTGATAAAAGTCGAAAGTGTCAGAACTGGTAGGTATAATCTATTACCACACATTAGCAAATATGGTATCCTGGGGCCCTTTGAATGGTAAAGAATTGTTTGGGTCGAACTCAACTCCTGATGATTTCCTGATGACTTCGTAGATAGGCCCGTGTAGTTTTGGTGGTTGGGGGGAAGAGCAAATGGTTTGCCATAGGTTTTTTCTGGAATGTTTCTTTTATTTTTTAGTGTAACAAACTCTGGCACTGCCTAGGGCTTTCAATTTAAGTATTAATTAGGCCTGAGCCTAAAAAAAGTTGCTCATACTGGTAACATAGCCACTAGGAAGTAAATCCCAGTCTGCAATTTAAGCACAGGATTTCAGTATGTATTTATTAACAGATGAACAGAGTTGGAAGGGAGCATGTAGGTCATCTAGTCCAACCCCCCGCCCAAGCAGGAGACCCTACACCATTTCTGACAAATGGCAGTCCATGTATACAATACCTTGCCTATAAAAATAACCATTTTAATTGATTATCCAAAGTAAGATGACCTGGATGATTGAGAATTTCCAGAGACACATAGGAATTACTGTAAACCATGAGATGACGTTGTGATGTTCCTTTTATATTTTGTACACACCCACACACCCACACCCACACCCACACCCACCCAAATTTGATAATCAGAAGTTAACAAGAAAATTACCGAACTAGCTGGATTGGTAGTCTGGATTTTTTTTAAACATCCTCAAGACATTTCATGCTGAAGGATAAACCCCTTTCTCTGATGTTAGATCCATGCTAAATGCTGGATAGGACTGGAATCCATCTATCTAGAGCTATTACAACTTAAACCTTGAAATACAGTGATTGGTTTAACAACATTTTAAAAAACATTTTATCAGCTGCATGCTAAGTGGTATTTTAAAAAATAAAAACAGTACTGATGACAACTTAAATGTAAGGTTTCTCACTTCTAAGTGTGGTTTTACTCTGAAAAATGATTGGTTTTTCTTCGGAAAATGTCAAATGCTTCCTGTTTACACTGTATAATTTTGCCTTAACTATACTAAGGAACCTTTTTGTGTGTGACATCCAGAGTACATGCAGTACATAGGTCTTTCTGTGTGCTTGTGTGGAAAGGTGGGGCAGGAAAGAAATGTGAGGGGTACATATAACATTTTTTAAAAGTTATTGTTAAACAAACCATAGTTGCTTAGTTTGTACAAAATGTACACTTTGTTAAGTAAACAGACAAGCTACAATTAATTAGCAGAATATGTTAACCCTGTTGAATGTTTGAGCTCATCAGTACAATTTGCAGCCAATTCCATTGTCTCTGATTATCACTTATTTATTTTCTTTTCCAATAGTTATAACCTGCCCCAATCCTGAAGACTTGACTGTGGTACAAATTCAGAGCAACAACAATTATGCAAAATTAAAAGAATATCATAAAAGTGCTATGTTAAGGGCTGAATGCATGCTGGATTAAAATTGCGTTGATTTGCTTACAAAATTTAATTGATAACTGTTTAGTGGCAATGATGCCTGATAGCTTGGTGCCTATTTAAGGGAAGTATGAAATGAAGAAATGAGAAATAGCAAACCACCATGTAGAAAACTTGAAATCTTTATTTTTTTCCAGAACAAGTTTAAGAACAAAATCTATGAAGAATAAAAATATAATATAATGTATAACCCCAGGCTCCTGGATGCCATAGCAACATGCTACTATAATTAAGTCAAGAGTTCCAAGGATAGAATCTAAACACAAAAGAAAATGTTAAGAAATGCATAAATTACATGGACTATCGTTGATTTTTTTTTTTTTTTAGAAAAAGTAATTGTCATAACTTTACCAAAGAAGCTCATTAATTCTCTATGGAAGTCATATTCTATCTGTCATGCTAAAGATTTTTGCATCTA